CCCACCTTGAGAACTTTCCACCTGTTTCTCCCTCAGCGTGGGTTGCTTTCTCCCTTCCCAAGCACTCGCAGTGGCTGCCCTCCACTTCTATGCTTCTCTCCTCACATCCCTAACACCCAGTTAAACTGACTTCAAAGCCCTTAGTCTCTGGTCAGTCCTTGCTAGAGTGTGAGCCTCATGAAACCAGGGAGCTCGAGGGTCCAGGGACAGTGAGGGGCACAGAACAGGTGCTCAATAAATATTTGTTGTGAAGAATGAGTGAACAAATGAACAAACAAATGAACTGCTCAGGGACCAGGAAGAAAAGTGTCTTTGTTTATGCATATCACTACCAGGGACGGCAGGCTGGATAAGAAGGCATTGTGGGCCGGGAGGAGGGAGGACAGGTTGGGGAGGGCAGGGTTACAGCTCTAATTCTGGGCCTGTGGGCACCACACAGCGGGGAGTCAGCCTCTAGGGGCTACTCTCAGCCTGGGCGTCCCTCCAGGCCTGGCGCACCTTGATCTTCACTTTGAAAGGGTCGATCAGAAAGACCATCTTGGGGTTGCCCTCCAGGGAAGGCAGCTGCCCACCATCCGGGACCTCCAGGTCAAACCTTTGCAGCAACCAGGACATGACGAGGAAGAGCTCCTGGCGGGCCAGGGTCTCGCCTAGGCAAGAGCGGGGTCCTGCTCCGAAGGGCAAGTAACTTAGCGATGGAGAGATGAGCTGACTCTTCGTGGGGTCCAAGAAGCGCTCTGTGGACATGGGGAGGTGTCAGCCAGGGCCAGGGCAGTGGTAAGTAGAGGAATGGCTCTGTCCTGACCAAGGGGGAGACGTGGCCCTGCCCGGGGAGCCCCCGCGTGAGGAGGTGGACAACCTCACATGGGGGAACCCTAGCCTGAGGAGAGATAGAGCCCAGTTCTCGGGTAGCCCTTACTCACACGGAAGAAATGCAATATCCAGGAAGGATGGAAAGGAGGCAGTACTGGCGACTGAAAATGCCACCGTCCCAGGGGAGAGGGGCTGACTTCATGGGAGCCAGACACCCAGAGGGCTTCTTAGAGGGCATTTGCAGTTGACAGAAGAGGAACGCGGGAAACCCGGCTGTGAAGAGTTTGGGTAAATCTAGAGTAGAATGGGGCTGTCAACAGGTTCATGTAGCCAGAGCCAGGAGTTTTCTGGTAGGAAGCTTTGCAGGGGGAACATGGGGATGGGGCACTGGTGCACGGAGGGGAGGCTGACTGTGTCGCTTGGGAACAGGACAGAAGAGGGACTCACCCGGCAGGAACTGGTCTGGCCGGTGCCACTCCTTCTCACTGTGATGCAGTGCCCACAGATTGATGATGACGCTTGTGCCCTTGTCAATGGCAAACTCGCCAATGCTGCTCCAGAGAGGGAGAGGAAAGGGGAGTCTAAAACACTGCCCTCCCCAAACTGCCCAGTGCCGTGCCTCCACAGTCCCTCCTTGGGGGAAAAATCCCTGTACATCCTCATGTCCCCTCCCTCATCTTTCCCCCAGCTTCTGCCAGATCATATATGAGCCCAGCCCTTCTCCAACCCTATTCCCGACTGGCTCTTACGTATCAATACTTGTGTACATGGACATTCAAGTCAGGGCATGTGGGTGTGTATTTTGAGCTGGTGCTTGTGTGTGTGCACGAATGTGCGCGCACCTGTGTTGTGGCTGTTGGATTGGGTAGGAGCACAGAGCACCTGGTTTTACATTCCAGACCACATGCCTCCAGAGCAGCAGGCAGTTTCTGCAGGAGGTCAGTTAAATCTGTGGATCAGCCAGTGGGTGGCGGATACACTGATCAGTAGGGTCATGGGTAGGATGACTGAGAGTCAATGGTTGAGTCTAGATCGCCTGGCAAGCAGAGAGGGGGTGGGGCAGTAGAGGAGGGACCTGGCGGGCTGGAAAGCAGTATTGGGCTGTTAGGAGGAAAGGCATACCTGGAATCAACAATAGCCTTGTGGGGGATGAGCGTGGGGGCCACAGGCCGGATGCGGAGCACCTCTCGGATGGTGGCCTCCAGCAAGAGGAGCTGGTTCCGGTCGCTCATAGTTGGTGTGCGGCCGAAACCTACATTCTGGTCAATTTCCTCCTGGATCTTCTTCTGCAACTGAGGGCCAGAGTGGGATGGATGGACATGACCAACGTGCTTAAGCCCAGAAGGAGCAAGGGCTTAGAAGAATCCTATTGTTACATCCAGACTCATCCAGACTGCTCAGACTCTTCCTGGCGGTGGCTTTGCAGTGCAGGCTTTGTTTTCAAAAGACGGGCGGCTCCACCCTCGGGCCAAAGCCACCTACCGCTTGGGTGAGGAGGGAGGCAGCCCAGGCACCTTGCATAGATGGGCGGAGGGCATTCCTTCTCCCTCTTTCTGGGGCCAAAGGTGGATCTGGCTGGGGTGAAGAGTGGTTGGGGTGAAGAGTAGGTTAAAGAAGCCCACCTGAGGATTGTGTAGCAAGAAGGCCACAGTCCATTTCACCACAGACGTGGTGGTCTCTACGCCGGCCCCAAAGATGTCCCCTACGGTGGTGAGAATGTGTTCATCTGAAAGCAGTTTTGGGTCCCGGTCTGAGGTAGCATTGTTATTGTCCAAGTTCATCTTGGCTTGGATCAGTATGTCCAGCAGGTTGGTGATGGAGTCACTGCTGAAGTTCTCCTGGTTGGGTGAGGTTAAGGGACAGTGACAAGGAAGGGACCCCATTGGAATATTTGCCATACTTCCATCTGGAGCCTGGAGACACAGAGGCCTCTTCCCTCTGGAAGTGAGGGACTGGGGTGCGATGAGGCAGGACCTACGAGTTTGTGGAGCTGGGAGGGCTCTCTTTAAATTTTGGGAGTGAGTGGGTCCCTTCTCAGATCCTCTGCAGTTCCTTACTTCCTCACCCCTATTCATGAGTTAAGTCGCTTTTTATTGAACACCTACTGTGGGCCAGGCTCTCTGCTGGGTGCTAAGGATACTCCAAGTGTCCAAAATGGGCCCTAGCCCTGTTTTCATGACACTTCAACCTAACTCATGGTCGCCACTGCTCCATCACCTACCTTACATTTTCCAAGGATATCTTTCAGCAACTCATCTCGCATTTTAACACAGTTCTTCATTTTTTCCACAATTTTGTTGGGGAAAATCTGGAAAGTAGAGAAAAGTGTCAAATCCGTGTGTCTTTTGTTTTGTTTCTCCAGCTACCAGAATCCCTCCTGGAGGCAGATCCCAGCTTTCGGTCTCTGGTGAGTTTCCACTCTAACCCAGACCTTCAGCCAAAATGGAAGGCAAGAAGGGGACACAGAATGGGATTATTAATGACAACGAGGACAATTCCACATAAGAGGAAAGGGAGAATCTTCACCTCCCCTTCCCCACTGAATCAAACATCAGGCACTGATTGGGGGTCTACTGATAGAGGGTCTGCTGTGTGCCCAGCCATTAGCTTGAAGATAGACTTGAGTCTGGAGCCTGGAGCAAGTTCCTTAACTTCTCTCAGCCTGTACTCTCATTTGGGGATAATAAAACCCACCTTTAAGGGGAACAACATGATTAATGCATGTGGAGTGCTTAATAGTTGTCATATGGCAATTGGTAAATAAAGGAGAGCCATTATCATGAGTATTACAAATGCATGGGTAAAAGCTAGACCTATTTTTGTAGAGAAGTGGCAAGATTTTAAAAAGAGGAGGTGAACAGAGGTCACTGTGACTGAGGTGGTTGGGGAAAAAAGTGGTTCTGGAGCCAGGCAGGAAGAAGAACTGGGGACAGGATTGCTGGAATCTGAAGGTGGGACCTGGCCTCATCCTCACCTTCAACCCGGGGAATATGTCTACCATATTATCCACTCCCAAAGAATCCAAGATGCCGTCGTTGTAATTCTTTATGATCCTCAGAGCGGGATCTCCATTCTTGTAGGAGGAGTTGAAGCAGATCAAGCAGATTATGTTGGTCACCGCCAGGAAGAGAGGCAAGGACAAGTCTATGGACTGCCCATTCTGGGTGGCCAGGAAATCACACAGTAAACTGTTTTCCTGACAAACTGGGAAGAGAGAGGGGCATGATGGTGGGGAGTTAAGCAGCACCGTCCCTCCTTCCTAGTTCCATCTTAGCCGGGGATATAGAGCAGATGGCCACTAGGTGGCAGCAGCAGCCAAGAAAGCACTAGATTGAGCCATCCATTGCCGGCACCCCCCTGCCCCTGCCCAAGTCTGGTTCCTTCTCCCTCCAGCCGCCCCAGGGGCCAGCCAGCACTCACTGATCTTCTCTAGCCTCTGGTCGCCATCCTTGAACAGTGCAAAGGTGGCCAGTACCAGCTTCCTGTGCATTTGCCAGCTGGCACCATGGTCTGCGAAGGCGATGCCCTTTCGGTTGTTAGACAGGATGTCCAGAGTCACCTTTGGAGAGTAGGAAAGGCTGGAGAATCAGACATCAATGACCTTCCCTTGCCCTGGGCCCCCCCACACCCTTCTTGAGGGAAAAGGGAGGTACCTGCCATGCTGAGCCCCATGGGGGACCCTGCTCTACTCTGCCGTGACTGTTAGGCCTTGGTAGGGCAGGGCCCGGGACCCCTCTATGCCCAATTCCATCAGAGACACAGACTGAGGAGAAAAAAGGGACCCTGAATTAGAATGCAGGGGTTTTGGGGTTCAATGACAGAGTGGCCTGTGTTCTCTCTTACCACTTTCTGACCAGGGGAAGGCAGTCTTCGGATGGGATAAGCTCTCTGAATGGCGCCTGTCCTGGGGGCAGGAGCAGGTGGGCTGGTAGAGATAGGACTGCCTAGATGTCTGCCTCTCCCTGGGCCCTCTGGGGGCTGCTGCAGGTGTAGCAGCCTCTCCTCTTTCTGCCCTTCCATTGCAAGGCTGTGTGCCTACCAGAAGGCCCCACCTGGAGCATGCAATCTGGACTTGGCCAAGCCACCTCTTCCCAGAGGGACTTCAAAGCATAAGCTCCCCTCTTTATATTCTGTGACCTGCAAGCCCCAGCTGACTAGCGTTCTCCTTCCTCTCTGCTCGGGGGGGTTGGGAGTGAGGCCATTGGCCAGCAGACCTGGCTGACTTGTCCAAGGAAAAATGAATCAACCCTCGGCCCTGATCAGAGGTAAGTGGCTACGAGGCCCTGTCTGAGGGGCTCAAGGGCGTACTCAGCAGCAAGGTGCTGGGATGGGGCTTGGCAGTATTCCCAGATGTATAGCTTCTCTCCTCCCCTAGGAGCATTATAGGAGGCTCGGCAGGATAGATCATCAGCATCCTTGAAATGCCAGCCTGTGTCAGCCCTGCTGTGGCCCCAGACAGCTGGGGAGAGCTCCAGAGAAACAGCAATCCCCACCCTCCAAAAGCCAGGGTACTTTTCCCCTCACACCTTCCCAGAGAAGACAGTCGTCATTTTAATCCCATTTCCCATATGAAGAGTAGCACTCCTAAGGGCTATAAATGGGGCACTTACTGCACTGGGCACTGGGCTCAGGGCTTGGCATATACTACCTCAGTTAATTAGGGAAGTCAGGACTCAGAGAGAACATCATCCATTTCCAGATGACAGCCCAGAAAATGAAGTCTTCCTTTGATTCTTCCTGCCTGGTTTAGAGGCTGGGTAGAGTCTGAGGGGTGGAACCCCACCCACAGTCCTGTTAGTCTGTTTTAGGAAGAATTACAGGAGCCAGAAGGGTCATTCCAGGTATGGTCTTGGTGATCAACTGCAAAACCCCCTGGGGCTGGTGAGAGAGGAGAGATAGTGAGCACTGCTTACCACTTGGGGCCGCCCAGAGAATTCCTTGCCTTTCTTGACAAGCACCTCCTTGGCCAGCTGGTGGTGGCCCACCATCACTGTAGTCTTGGTACCCATACGAAAGGAGTAGATGGGGCCGTATTTTTCCTGCAGCTTGAAGAAGTTCACGTGCGGATGGCCACCTCTGGGGAGGAACGGCAGGCTGCCCACCAAGGGCAGGGATGGGAGGCTCCTAGGATATTTGGCACTGGAGCGCTTTGCCTTGGGCCATAAGAAATAGGCAAGGGCGAACAGCAAAAAAGCCAGGAGCTCCCACATGGTGGCGGGGTGCCGGCAAGCAGGACAGACAGCTACAGAGCGGAAGAACAGCAGCCAATGCTAGGGTGCAAGGAGGCCTTTTTAAGGGCTGTCCTGATCTTCACCTTGGCTCTGTGTTATCTCTTGCCTTGTGGAAATTTATCCTGGAGCCCGGCCAGGCCTGAGCCCTCTCCCAGAATCAGGAGAGGAAGGAGGAGTGGAGGCCTCCTCAAGGGCTGGCCCAACTCCAGGACAAACCCCTAAGAAGGGGGGCTGGGTAAGGGGAAGACAGCTGGTCCTCCCTCCCTGCAGTTCCCATCCATCAATGTCCACAGAGTGCACCAGCAGCAAGTGGTATCTGGGTCAGGAATCAAGGCTTGGGACTTTCCACGTTGTAAAATCAAAATCCATGAATAGATGATGTTGTCAGGAAGGTTACAGCCAGCAGGGACTGTCAAAGACATTTTATCCAGTCTTATTTAACAGCCAAAGAGTGTGATGCCTTCAAAGGTCAGTCTTGTATAAGGTCACACAAGACAGTGACAGAAAGGGGGAACCTGCATGGCACAGTCATTTAAGCGTTCTGAGTCTTGATCTCAGCTCAGGTCTTGATCTCAGGGTCATTAGTTTGAGCCCCACATTGGGCTCCATGCTAGGCATGGAGCCTACTTTTAAAAATTATATGTATATGTACATATAATATTAATAACATTAATATTATAAATAGGAATATTACAAGTGTACACAAATATAAATCATATAATATGATAAATAATAAAATGTGATGTATAAATATTAAATAATATAACTATTATATAATAATATATGTAACATATTTTATACTATATTATAAACAATATATATACATATATATGACACATCAAATTTGCCATTTTAATTTATAAAAATGTTTAAATATTTTTTTATTTATTTGACAGAGAGAAACACAGTGAGAGAGGGAACACAGGAAGGGGGAGTGGGAGAAGGAGAAGCAGGCTTCCCACTGAGCAGGGAGTCTGACGTGAGACTTGATCCCAGGACCCTGGGACTATGACCTGAGCTGAAGGCAGATGATTCACAACTGAGCCACCCAGGCACCCTGCTGCACCCCCTTCTAAAAAAGATAGATTTATTTATTTATTTATTTATTTACTTACTTACTTACTTACTTACTTACTTTTATGGGCCCAGCATGCTTCTGATGTCAACTCTGCTCCTTTATTTATTTTTATAAAAATGCACCCCACCCCTGCTTTTTAAAAAAGATTTATTTATTCATTTACTTTTATAAAAACGTTTAAAGTAAGCATGGAGCTCTATGCTTACTTTAAACATGGGGCTTGAACTCAGAACCCCAAGATTGAGAGTTGCACACTCCACTGACTAAGCCAGCCAGGCGCCCCCCGCATTTTAACCATCTTAAGTGTACAATTCAATAGCATTAAATATACACACAGGGTTATACGCCCATCACCACTATCTACTTCCAAAACTTTTTCATACCCCAAACAGAAACTGCCCATTAAGAAATAATCCCCATCTCCCCTTCCCTCCCATTCCTTGCCACCTCTAATCTACTTTGTCTCTATGAATATGCCCATTTCACGTAAACGGAGTCTTGCTGTATTGTTTTTTGTGTGTCTGGTTTATTTCACCTAGCATCATGTTTTCGAGCTTCATCCACATGTCAGAACTCCGTTGCTTTTTATGATTGATACTCCGTCACGTGGATATATTGCCTCTTGCTGATCCATTCATCAGTTGTGGACACTTAGGCTGTTCTCCCCTTTTTACTCTGCTAAAAAAAATGCTAAAAATGCTGCTACGAACACGTGTATACAAAGGTCTGTTTGAGTCTCTGTTTTCAATTATTTGGGGGGTATACCGGGAAGTGCAATTGCTAGGTCATGTGATCATCTGGTATTAACTTAAGTTTATGTTCATGTGTTAAGTTTCGGTTTCCTCCTCTGTAAAGTGGGACTAAGAATGGAATCTACTTCCCGGGGTCATTGCGACTCAAGGGAGATCACGCAGGTGGAAGCATTGCCTGGCAGGAAGTAAGTGCTCACCTAATATCTATGCCTATCATCGTTGTACCAAATGGGCTTCCTGGTTTCTCTGAGCTCAAATTAGTAGATCTTCCTGACAAAGTTCTCCTCTTCTGCTGGAAACCTTCAGGGGCTCCATCAGTACTGATCAGTGATTTGAAATCGCTGGGTGAAGTCACGGACATTCCTGGTGTCAGGCACCACAGAAGAGGTGAGCCCGCAGACAGGCATCCAGGACCCACTAAATGAGATTCACAAAGATAGGAGATGGAATTTTTGCCCATTTCTGGGGGTGGTCTGCCAGTGTCTGTACTTTGAGGAGTACAAATTAGGGTGTGGGCTGCTGGAATGAATCAGGAAGGCAGCAGATAGGGGACCTCGTCATGAAGGTGAACTGGCAAAGCCTTGTAAGCTAGACTGGCTGGTTGCCCATTACTCCACATGTTCAAATGTGGGCCACCTGGGTGGCTCAGTCGGAGAAGCGACTGCCTTTGGCTCAGGTCATGATCCTGGGGTCCTGGGATCGATCCCTCCATCAGGTTCCCTGCTCAGCAGGGAGCCTACTTCTTCCTCTCCCTTTACCTGCCATTCACCCTGCTTTTATTCTCTTTCTCTCTCTCAAATAAATAAAAAAAATCTTTAAAAAAAAAGTGTTCAAATGTGATTCAGAGTTTTTAAAAAGTATTTTATTTATTTAAGAGAGAGTTATCATAAGAGTTACATGTGATAATTGCAGAAAATCTGGATAATGTGGATAGCTCAAATTAAAAATCTGAAATGTGTGTGTGTGTGTTTTTTTTAACTAAAATGAGGTCATACTGCATTTGGGGGGCATGGATATTTTTCTCTTTTTAAATTATTATTTTTAATTTTATTTATTTATTTGACAGAAAGAGATCACAAGTAGGCAAAGAGGCAGGCAGAGAAAGAGGGGGAAGCAGGCTCCCCACTGAGCAGAGAGCCCAACATGGGCCTCGATCCCAGGACCCATGAGATCATGACCTGAGCCAAAGGCAGAGGCTTAACCCACTGAGCCACCCAGGCTCCCCTATTTTTCGCTTTTTAAGGACTTTTCTACAGCATTACTTTTGGTAGCTGCCTGCTGTTCCATTGTGTGTATATCCTGCGGTTAGCATAGCTTATTTAACTGACCCTGTATTGTGGTGTTGGACATTTAGGTTGTTTCTGTTTGTCTTTGTTCTTCTAAACAACATTAAGTGATAGCCTTGTAGTGAAAGCTTTGTGCATAATCATCAATATTTTCTTAGGATAGGGTTCTAAAGAGTGCTATTGTTACCCAAGGGCCAAGCATGTGTTTATTTTAAAGATTTTATTTTTTTAAATTTTTGTTTATTCTTTTAAAAAGACTTTATTTATTAGAGACCATATGAGCACAAAAGAGAGAATAAATGGGGTGGGGAGCAGGGGGAGAAACAGGCTCCCCGCTGAGCAGGGACCCCCCCCCAACCTGGGGGATCGATCTCAAGACCCTGGGATCATGATCTGACCCGAAGGCAGATGCTTAACCAACTGAGCCACCCAGGCGCCCCAAAATTTTATTTATATTTATTTATTTATTTATTTATTTTTAAAAAGATTTTATTTATCCATTTGACAGACAGAGATCACAAGTAGGCAGCGAGACAGGCAGAGAGAGAGAGGAGGAGGAAGCAGGCTCCCTGCAGAACAGAGAGCCCGATGTGGGGCTCGATCCCAGAACCCTGGGATCATGACCTGAGTCGAAGGCAGAGGCTTTAACCCACTGAGCCACCCAGGCACCCCAAGATTTTATTTTTTAAAGTGATCTCCACATCCAATGTGGGGCTAGAACTTAGAACCCCAAGATCCGACTCATGTCTTCCACCAATTGAGCCAGCCAAAGGCACCCCATGCATGCATATTTTAAAGACCTTTGACAAATACCGACTTATTTATCAGAGGCATTACATTAATAGATTTCTTGATATCTAACCATTTCTAGATTAGTAATAACTTATCCAGACCATCTTCTTTTAATACAGAATTAAATTCTCTTTGTATTACTTGGGATTTTATTTCTTTTTCATCTCTAATCATATGAAAAATTGAGTTGTGGTATTCCTACTTATGCATTGTTAAGTTTTGGTATTAGGATTTTATTCACTTCATAAAGTTAGTAGAGAAACTTTCACCTTTTTCTACGTCCTTAAGCAAATTAAATAGCATGGAAGTGAACTATTCTTTGAAGTTCTAAAGCAAAGTGATGTGAAAAGTGTCAGGTCCCAGTGCCTTTTTCAGAGAGATGACTCCTTAACATAATTTTCTAATTTCTTCCATAGGCGTGGGACTCCTCAATTCTTCTGAGTCTCCTTGAGTCCATTTTGACAATTAGTATTTCTTAAAATGTGCATTTTCTATTTTTTCTTGATTTGCCAAAGGTTTTATTGATCTTTTCAAAGAATCACCCTTTGGATTTATTCGTCAAGTCTTTGATGACTGTTATTTTAATTTGGTTTCAATGTTGATGAATGATCGATGCAAAACATCCTGTGTGACTCTTATACCAGAATTCAGACTGAAAATTCATATGAATTCCATTTCCTTTGAATCCCTGTTTTCCTTTTTTTCCCTTGTTCCTTGTCTAGACATAAGCCCCATTTGTCTAGACATAAGCTGAATTTATGACCTGGGAACTTCATTCTTAGGTATTTAAACAACAGCGTTTATGCATACCTTCACCAAAGGCACATTCAAAAGCATTATTACACTGTTTGTAGTAATTCCAAACTAGGAAGAAACCCAAGTGTTTATCAGTTGTTGAGTGGATAAACTGTCACACATCATACAGTGGGTGACAGAAATGACACTGAATGAACGGCAGCCACGTGCACCAATGTGAATGAAACTCACAAACCTAAGATCGAGTGAAGAAACCAGACACCTAAGAATGCAGTGTGTGATTTTATTTACATAGATTTTAGAAACATAAAACGAAACTGTGGTTCTAGAATCAGTTGATGATCTAGAATCAGGTGATGATTACCCTGGCGGGTGGTTAAGTGACTGAAAGAGGACGTAGGGTGGGGCTTCTGGGGAGGGGCTTCAGGTCGTGTTCTGTTGCTTGATCTGGGTGCTGGTAACACAGGTACATTCACTTTGAGATGGACCCTATTTATTTGAATACATGCTATACTTCAATACAAAGTTTACTTTAAAACACTGGGTGTCCGTAGACTCTGGGATCTTACCGAAATTGTACACAAATTCTGCATGTATGTATAAATACATGTTTTTCTGGAGAAAGAATCCATGACTTTCACCAGCTCTCAAAACACTGAGTTCTTGGCTTGAGGTTCCCTCTATCCTTACGCTGATCCCCATCTTGCTTTATGATTCTTCTACTCTACTGTCCTCCAATTGTGTCTTTCCTTCTCTCCAAAACCTTTCCCCGGAGCCCTTGGGTATTGTCCCTCTCTAAAACAAACACACTTCTTTGTTTTCCTTATTTATCTACAGAATATTTTCTCTATCTCCCGCCTTATCTAAACTGGACCCTTCTCTAGGACAGTCCTTCCCCTACTGTTTTCCCGAGTAAAGACACCTAATGTCCAGGTTAGGCAATGGAGTTGACGTTCTCTTCCCTCCCCAAGGCCTCCAGACCACCAGTTCTCTACCATTGGGTGGAGCAGATTCTTGCTTGTTTTGTAGTTTCAAACCTTTGTTATTGCCATTACTTACCTCCTGTTGCTCATTTTCATTTAAGATTTAAGATCTGGGCACCCAACTCACATCTTTCCTCTCCAATCCCACCGTCATCCCACATGACTTTAGAGTCCATGAGGGATGATCAGCCAACATCCCAACTTCCTAGTTCCTTTATCTCTTCAAATCCAAAGATTGTCACACTTACTTCTACCTCAGTGACTCCTCTAAACTTCAAGCCCCATCCTCAACTCCATCTCTTTCATGCTTAGCAGATAATCTTACCTTTTACTTAAGAAATCTGAGAACACTGGAGTACCTGGCCGGCTCAGTTGGCAGAGCATGTGACTTTTGATCTCAAGGTTGTAAGTTTGAGCCCCATGTTGGGTGTAGAGATTACTTAAAAATATAAAATCTTAAAAAAAAAAAAAAGTAATCTGAGACCATTAAGTTCAATCTCCCATAATTTCTACTTTATAGTTAGAGGGAAAGAATCACTACTCCTGTTTCTAATCAACTCCTCTGACAATTTGGCAAAATGATGACTTTATTGAGCATTTATCATGTATTACATGTACTATCTCATTTAATTATTTTTAAAAATATTTTATTTATTTGACAGAGAAAGACACAGTGAGAGAGGAAACACAAGCAAGGAGAGTGGGAGAGGGAGAAGCAGTTTCCCCACTGAGCGGGGATCCCGATGCAGGGCTCAATCTCAGGACCCCAGGATCATGACCTGAGCTAAAGGCAGCTGCCCAATGACTGAGCCACCCAGGTATCCCTCACTTAATTCTTTTTTTTTTTTTTTAAGATTTTATTTATTTATTTCACAAAGACAGCAATCACAAGCAGGCAGAGAGGCAGGCAGAGAGAGAGAGAGGAGGAAGCAGGCTCCCTGCGAGCAGAGAGCCGATGTGGGGCACGATCCCAGGACCCTGAGACCATGACCTGAGCTGAAGGTAGAGGCTTTAACCCACTGAGCCACCCAGGCACCCCTCCCTCACTTAATTCTTATAACAACTCCATAAGGTGCTATAATTATGACCATTCCCATCTTACAGACGAGGAAATAGAAACAAAGACTTGCCCATGGAGAAGCTGGGATTTAAGCAGTCTAAAGCTCTTTGCTCTCAGCCGTGGTATTCTACTTCTCCTAATATAAACTGAAACTACATACGTACCTTTAGAACCAATAATTCCAACTCTAGGAATTTATCCTGAATGTGTCACACAGTTCAATGTACAAAACTAATCATTTCATGTTTATAACTGCCAGCAATACAAGCCCCATCAATAGGAAATCAGAATAAAATATAGTTAGAAAAAAGAAGAAATGTGCTTATTATTGAAAGATTTCCAAAATATATTGGGAGGTAAAAGAAGTAGAAATAAGAATATTATGTGGGTTGCCTGGGTGGCTCAGTCATTGGGTGTCTGTCTTCAGTTCAGGTCATGATCTGAGTCCTGGGATCAAGCCCCGCATTGGGTTCCGTGCTCGGCAGGAAGCCTGCTTCTCCGTCTCCCACTCCCCCTGCTTGTGTTCCCTCTCTTACTTGTGTCTCTCTCTGTCAAACAA